TGGCACTTCTTGGGCCCGCGGGGCGCTCGGCGGGCCTGCTACGCGCTGCGCTCCTGGCGCGCGCGGCACACTGAGCCCCAGCGGCACCTGGGATCTGTACTCAGCACCAGCAGCAGTCCGTTCAAGGACGACCGCTGAAGATGCTGAGACAAGGGTATTGCGAATGCATTGGGGGGGCAGGCGGGAGTGAACCAGACAGTTTGCGTCTGAGAGAAGTGTCTTCATCACTGCTCCCTATCAGTAAACACCCCCTCCCCCACCCGCCTGTGGGCCAACCCGGGACATGCCAACCCTCTCCCCCACCATCCCTGTCAAACAAACAAAACAGAATCCATTCTGCCTCCAAATCTTGAGCATGCGCGGGCGCCTCGCGACCACTCTGCAAGGGTTTTGACAGGGACGGCGGGGTTGCCCGTATGCTGTTTGTTGCGCACAAGTTGCGCGCAGGCCAACCGTCCTTGCGCTTCGCCTCCAAATCTGGATCTTGCGTGGGCGCCCTGCGACCACTCGGCGTGGGCCCCGCGACCACGCTGCATTGTTTTTTCTTGACAAGGATGGGGGAAGTGCCAACATATTGGTTGATGCGCGCAAGCCAGCCTCCCTCCCGAAAACCAATACAGAATCCACCAGGTGACCGCTGAGTCATGAGGCACCTCGCACGCACTGCGCGCGCCGAGCGCGTGGCGCACATGGCGCAAAGGGAGCACGTGGCGCACTTGGCGTTCATGGAGCACGTGCCACAATTACCGCGTTTCGTACGCTTGGGAATCCAGGGTGTCTGGTGCACCTGAACCCGCGGCACACATGGCATGCGGCGTTCCTCGGCGATGTTCCGGGACTCGGGTACCACCTATATTTGGGCGCCCGAGTTATCCGGGGTAACTCGGGTCCGGGGAAACTCGGGTTTGGATTCCCGAAAAACGAACCCGAGTTAGCCCTGACCCGAATTACCCCAGATGATTCGGGGCCCTGGACGACCGAATTATCCGGGGTAACTCGGGTCCGGGGTAACTCGGGTCCGGAATCCCGAAAAGCGAACCCGAGTTAGCCCTGACCCGAGTTACCCCTGATGATTCGGGGCTCTGATATGTGTTGGGAGGGCGGGTGGGAATGAGCGAGACGGTTTGCGGTCTTGGGGGGGCTTTGATCACTGTTCCCGATTAGTATACACCCCCTCCCCCAGGAGACTGGGAGCCAACCGGGGACAATGAGGGTACCCCCCCCCCACCATCCCTTTCTAAAAAAACAATGCTAAACACACTCTGCCTCAAAATTCGGAACATACGCAGCGAACCCGATGCGGCCTCCCCACACCATCCTTGTCAAAAGCGCTACAGAGTACACTTGGCGGCGGCGGCGGCTGTGGCCGCCGCGGCGGGGGTACCGGTTGCGGTGGCTGCGGCGGTGGCGGCGGCGGCGGCAGCGGCGGCTGCGGCGGTGGCGGCGGCGGCGGCGGCAACGGTGGTTGCGGCGGCAGCGGCGGCGGCGGCGGCGGGCGGCAGCGGCGGCGGGCGGCGGCGGCGGCGGATTCGCCCCCAGTACCTGCCCATCCAAAGACGACTGCTGAATATGCTGCGGCTCGGGCCAGGCTCGGGTGCAACGTCTGTGTTGGGAGGGCGGGTGGGAGTGAGCGAGACGGCTTGCGGGCGGGCAGGGCGTCTTGATCACTGTTCCGTATTCGTATACACCCCCTCCCCCAAGCGACTGGGAGCCAACCAACGTCAATGAGGCCCCCCCCACCATCCCTTGTAACAAAAATGCAAGCACACACTCTGCCTCGAAATTCGGAGCATGCGCAGCGAACCCGATGCGGCCTCCCCCCACCATCCGTGTCAAAAAACAATATACAGTACACTTGGCGGCGGCGGCGGCTGCGGCGGCTGCGGTGGGGGCAGCGGCTGCGGCGACTGCGGCGGTGGCGGCGGCTGCGGCGGGCGGCGGCGGCGGCGGCGGCGGGCGGCGGCGGCGGCGGTGGCGGCGGCGGCGGCGGCAGCGGCTGCGGCGGCAGCGGCTGCGGCGGCGGTGATTCGGCAGCGGGGGCGACGGCGGCGGCGGCGGCAGCGGCAGCGGCGGCGGGGGCGACGCGGTGGCGGCGGTTGCGGACGGCGGCGGTGGGCGGCGCGGCGGCGGCGGCGACGGACAGCGGCGGGGCGGCGGCGACGGCGCGGCGGCGGCGGCGGGCGGGCGGCGGCGGCGGCAGCGGAGGCGGCGGCGGCGGCGGATTCGCCCCAAGTAGCTGCCCATCCAAAGACGACTGCTGAATATGCTGCGGCAGGGGCCAGGCTCGGGTGCTACGTATGTGTTGGGAGGGCGGGTGAAGTGAGCGAGACAGCTTGCGGGCGGGTAGTGAGTTTTGACTCCTCCCCCTACCCCCTCCCCTGAGGCTCGACGGGGGAGGGGGGTGCCCATCTGGCAGCCAACATTTTAGGTTCAGGATAATCTCCAAATGAAATACAATTATCCCGGCAAAGCAACCTAACAGCGATGTGTAGAAGCATATCTGAAAGCATTCCCCTTAAGATTCAGATGAAAATCCAGTTGTAGAATTCTGCTGTTCTCGCAGTCGTAGTCGCATTCGCGATGACAGTCGCAGCGGCAACGGCAGTCGCAGTCACAGCCTCAGCCTCAGCCTGCCTCAGCCTCAGCCTCAGCCTGCCTCAGCCTCAGCCTCAGCCCAGCCTCAGCCTCAGTCTGCCTCAGCCTCAGCCTCGGCCTCAGCCTCAGCCTGCCTCAGCCTCAGCCTGCATCAGCCTCAGCCTCAGCCTCAGCCTGCCTCAGCCTCAGCCTCAGCCTGCCTCAGCCTCAGCCTCAGTCTGCTTCAGCCTCAGCCTCAGTCTGCCTTCAGCCTCGGCCTCAGCCTCAGCCTGCCTCAGCCTCAGCCTGCCTCGGCCGCAGCATCAGCCTGCCTCAGCATTCAAAATGTGGCCCAGGAATGGAGTTCTGGGAACTAGAAGAACACGAAGTGGCCTACAGTTGGCTCCGGGCATTCAAAATCATGCCCAGGAATGGAGTTCTGGGAACTTGAAGAACACGAAGTGGCCTACAGTTGGCTCCGGGCATCCAAAATGTGGCCCGGGAATGGAGTTCTGGGAAGTCGAAGAGCACGAAGTGGCCTACAGTTGGCTCCGGGCATCCAAAATGTGGCCCGGGAATGGAGTTCTGGGAAGTCGAAGAGCACGAAGTGGCCTACAGTTGGCTCCGGGCATCCAAAATGTGGCCCGGGAATGGAGTTCTGGGAGCACCAAGAGCGATTTTGCGAGGATGTCCTAAGCGATTTCGGCTTCGGCGGCAGCCTCTCCGGGTCCCGCCCCGACCCCCCTGAGAAGTCATGATGCACTAGAAACCTATCAGCAAAAGCTGTTAGGTAAAAAGAAAGGATCCTTAGGCGAGAGGAAACATTGACCCTGCGCCGCTGCTTACGCAGGCCGCCAGCGCGGCATACCACATTTGAGAAGAGGGCGCCTACGAGCGCGGGCAGCTTACGTGCCAATGTCCGTGACCCCGTTTCTCTGCGTCGCTCAAATATCTCCCTATGCGCCAAGATGGCTTCCAAGATGGTTCAAGGTAGCCCAAGATGGTTCGTGACAACCCACGATATACATACGAGCGGTCCCAAGAGGGAAACAAGACAGCTCTAAGTGGCCATGGAGCCTCTAAAGCTCGCACCAAGAGTCCGACCATGAAATCAATGATATGTGCTCCTCTCGCCTTCTCGCTTCCGACGAGCCTTGAGGCCTCATGATGGCTCCAACATGGCCCAAGAGAGCCACACGAGGTCCCCAATATGGCGCCAAGAGTGCCTACGAGCGCTCCAAGAGCCCTGTTCATCGAAGGCCTCCGAGACTCCAAGACGGCCCTCGGACGCCGTCCAGGGCCCCCCCGAGGGCACCAAGAGGGCCCCAAGAGGGCCCGAACGGCCTCCAGCAGTGTCCCAAGATGGCTCCGCGAGGCTCCCCGAAGTCTTAACCTTTGTCACCGTTTGCATCCCTGCTTCACTATATCCTTACTTGCGCCCCTCCTCCAGGTAACTTCCATGAGCTTGTGAGGATATGCGGCATCTCAACAAGTCGTTTCTTTTGTATAGTTAGCTTCCACCAGGCGCCCGGCCGGTCCCCGAAGTCTGGCCATGGATGTTCGTTTCGGCGAGCGATGCTCAGATCTCACGTTTGACCTTCCATTCTTACCCGATTGTCTCCGGCGCCCCCCCCCACACACACTTGACCCGCTCCTCCTGATCGGCTTTTGAAATCGACGCGAGGGGGGACCAGCCCAAGAGGGGGAAGCAACGACCTGGAATCGGAGATACATCGCCAATAGGTCGCAAACATCGGCGGTGAAAAAAAACAAATCCCTTTAATAAACCACTCTTTAGTGAAAACGGCCTAGGACCGACACCGACGTACCTGGACCTGCAAAAATGACGGCCGCGGTGCCCTCTTGCGAACCGAAAACGGCGATGGCGTGCCGATGTCCCCCCCCCCCGGTGAATCCCCCTAAACTTTGCCACTGAGCTTTGCCGTGCTCAGCATGGGGAGACTCGGGGGGAACAAAAGGGAGGGATAGCAAAGGGTAGGGTAGAGAATCAGCTCACGTAGCTGATTTTCCCAGCGCCTCCCCGCGCCGAGAGGCGCCCATGTACTTATCGAGGAATGGGCCCGGCGGCGGGGCCGAAACCAGCTGCATGCAGCAGATTTCGTAACCCCTCCTTTCCCTATTCCCCCCCCCCCTTTCGTCCGGTCCGCGAGACGGGTCCTGAGGGAGACGGGTTCTGGACCTTGCCGCCCCCCTCAGGACGGGCTTTTCATCCGGGGTCGATTGCTGACAGTCCCGGGGCTCGTGTAGGGCCCCGACAGCCCGAGAACTTAGAGAAACCGCGGGGCCCGTTTCACTCAGGACCCGCTTCCTCCCACGGCGAACTGCGACCCGCGACCACTCGGCCACGCAGCTCCGCGCAGAAGGTGCCCTGCGATGCGCGACGGCCGCGGCCGTCGCGCAACCGCCTGGTTGGTCCGCATGTCCAGCCGCTGCAGGCCGCTCCCCGCCGGTAGCCGCATCAGCTGCGCGCGCGCGCTGGGGAGCGCCACCGTTTCGCTGCTTGCTCCGTGCTCACAACATGGCCCAGGGGGGCGCATACGAATCGACACGGATCCCTGGATGTTCCATATACTGATCTGGGGGAGGAGAGGAGATCGGACACCCCAGAACAAGACACCTCCGCAAGCGAGCACATCGAAAATAGTGTGAGACAGGCGGGCTACAGGGGCGGAGTGAATTCCACGATTCCGCACATGCTCAAATATTTGTTGGTTGACCCTCTTCCCCTCCGGGTCCAAAATTTTCCTATCCGCCACCGTGCCTCTGGGGACGGAGTGGGCATGTCCTCAGGTCCACCGCCCAATCTCTTAAGCCTCAGTCCCCAATCCTGAAGACTCTTCAACGGGCCTGGACCCAAAATTGCCGAATCTCTCGAGTTTGCGCGTGCCCCCTGGGCTCCCCCGCTTCTCCCCGCATGACTTTTGAGGGCCCTAGAAGGCCCCAAGACGGGCCAAGAGGGTCCCAAGAGGCCACCAAGACGATCCAAGAGGGCCCCGAGACGCCCACGACGCCCAAGATGGTCCCAAAGGGCCTCCGAGTCCAAAATCATAGATGTTTCACACAGTTGTTCAATAATTCGTGGGATCCTCTACTTTCGAGCTCCAGACGCTTCAAGAAAGCCCAGTAGGCCCTTACGACCGCGACAAGGCGGGCCAAGAGGCCCCCGGGAGGACCCCAACATGGCCCAAGAGGGCTCAACGACATCCAACACGCCCCAGGAGGCCTCAAAGACAGCCCCAAGAAAGGCCAAAGAGGGGGAACACTAACCGAAAATCCGAGCCTTCCGCTCCAAGAGGCCCCCCGGAGCGCCCCAAGAGGCCCACTAGAGGCCAGAAGAGACCCCAAGAGGCCCCGAAGATCACCCAAGAGGCCCAAAACGGCCCCCAGCTTCAAAACGGTTCCCAGGAGGCCCCCGGAAGGCTCCCCGCGACATCCCCACAACCATCCTGGACGCCTACGACCCATAACCCAGGCTCGGTGGCGGGATGGGCCGAACGCCATTCGATCCGCCGCCCCCTGCTTGCAGGGGTGCACGGCGTGCTGGATGATTCAGGTTTTGGTTTTGGTTCTTTTTCTAAAAGAACTCCCCAGTGGGCTTCGGCCCGTCCCGCCGGCCACCCGTAAATTTCCCAAAATGCGTCTGTCAATGCCCAAAAACGGCCGTTTCGCTCGGGACATCCTCAAAAAATCGCGAAGATGGCCCAAGATGGCCTCCAAGTCCGCCCGAGATGGTCCAAGACGGCCTCCAAAACGGCCCAAGAGAGTCCAAGACGGCCCAAGACGGCCCAAGAGGCCCCCCAGAGGCCTCCCAGACGGCCCAAGAGGCCTCCAAGAGGTCCTCCAGGAGAGTCCGAAGAGGCCAAAATCATTGATTTTCCTTTGGTTTTTGAAGGATTTTGGCATTTGCGCCTTTTCGGCTCTCCGACGGCTCAAGACGGCCCAAGAAGCCCCCAAGATCGCCCAAGAGGCCCCCAAGAGAGCCCCATGATGGCCCAAGTGGCCTCCAAGATGGCCCCTAGAGGGCCCCAAGAGGGCCCAAGAGGCCTCCAACACGCCCAAGATGGCCTCCCAGACGCCCAAGATGGCCTCCAAGACGGCCCTGGAGCATTCCAAGCGGGCCCCAAGTCGGCCCATAGAGGCCCCCCAAACGGCTTCCGACGGCTTCAGACGTGCCAGGAACCCACCAAGATGGCCGAAGTTGGCTCGAAGCTGGCCCGAGACGGCCCAAAAAGCCCCAAAGATCGCCCAAAGCTTGCCCAAGAGGCCTCCAAGACGGCCAAGATGACCTTCAAGATGCCCACGTGTTCCCCGAAGGCTTTCCAAACCGATTCGGGGAACACGTGGTCCGATAGCTTGGCAGGTCTGGCCTCAACGTTCGGCCACATAGGCGCTTCCAAAAAGGCAGGGGGCGGCGGTGATTCGCCGTAGGCGTCTTCGATATCCAAATCCGCCGCCTCCTGTTGGCTTGCCACAGGGGTGCCCGTCATGCTGGACCCTAGACGGTTTAGTTTTGGTTCTTGCTGCAAAAGAAAAACTCTCCCTGGAGCGTCGGCCCGTCCCGCCAGCTACCCACAAGGCGCGGCATTCTCAGAACATGTTTCCCAAGACGGTTCAAGATGGGTTTCAAGACCGTTAAAATGGGCTTCAAGACCGTCAAGATGGCCCAAGATGGCCTCCAAGATGCCTCCAAGATGGCCCAGATGGCCTCCAAGACGGGTTCAATATACCCCCAAGTCCGCCCAAGTAGCCTCCAAAACGGTCCAAGAGGGCCCAGGAGGCGCCCAAGAGGCCTCCGAGGCGGCCTCCACGAGGACCTCCAGAAGGTCCGAAGAGGCCAACATCGTTGTGTTTCTTCCGGTGTTCGAAATCTTTTGACATTCGTTTCTTTTCGGTCTTCCGACGGCCCGAGACGGCCCAAGAGCCCCAAAAGATCGCCACAAGGTTGCCCAACAAGTCTCCAAGATGGCCCCAGGACGGCCCAAGAGACCCCAAATACAGCCCCAAGAGGCCCCAAGGCGGCCCAAGAGGCCCCCAAGACGCCCAAGATGGCCTCCAAGACGGCCCTGGAGCACCCCAAGAGGGCCCCCAGTCGGCCCAGGGAGGCCCCCAAGGTAGCGTCCGACGGCGTCAGACGGGCCAGGAGCCCACCAAGACGGGCCAAGATGGCTCTAAGATGGCCTAAGATGGCCCAAGAGGCCCACAAGAGGTCTCCAAGACGACCGAAGAGGCCTCCAAGAGGCCTCCAGAAGGCCCGAAGAGCCCAAACCTTTGTGTTCCCTTGGGTTTTCGAAGGATTGTGGCATTTGTTTCTGTTCGGCCGTCCGACGGCCCGAGACGGCCCAAGAGCCCCCAAAGATCGCCCACAAGATCACCCAAGAAGCCTCCAATATGGCCCAAGAGGTCCCAACATAGCTCCAACATAGCTCCAAGAGGGCCCAAAGACGGTCTCCTCCAAGACGGCCCTGGAGCGCCCCAAGAGGGCTCCCAGTCGGCCCAGAGAGGCCCCCAGGACAGCTTCCGACAGCGAGAGACGGGCCAGGAGCCCACCAAGACGGCCCAAGATGGCTCGAAGATGGCCCAAGACGGCCCAAGAGGCCCCCAAGACGTCTCCAAGACGGCCCAGGAGGCCTTCAATAGGGCCTCCAGGAACGCCCGATGAGGTCAACAAACTTGATTTCCCGTAGGTGTGTGGAAGAATTTGGCATTTGCGTCTTCTCGGCCTTCCGACGGACGGCCCAAGAGCCCGGAAAGATCGCCCAAGAAGCCTCCAAGATGGCCCCAGAACGGCCCAACAGGCCCCCAATACAGCCCCAAGAGGCCTCCACGACGCCCAAGATTGCCTCCAAGACGGCCCTGGAGCACCCTAAGAGGGCCCCCCAGTCGGCCCAGAGAGGCCCCCAGGACAAGCTTCCGACAGCGAGAGACGGGCCAGGAGCCCACCAAGACGGCCCAAGATGGTTCAAGACGGCCCACGAGGCCCCAAAGAGGTTTCCAAGACGGCCCAGGAGGCCTCCAAGAGGGCGTCCAGGAATGCCCGAAGACGCCAACATCGTTGATTGTCCATATGTTTCATCAAGGGTGTTGGCAATCCCACCAGCCCTCTGGGCGACCGCTCTTCCCTTCTGGGAGGGGAACCCCTCCCCTACCAGAGTTGTTCCCAACCATCCTGTGGTGTTGGGTCCTCGTTTTGAAAAGACAACGCCCCGCATCCTCCCTCATTCACCCCCTCCCCCCTCCCTCCTTCTCTCACCCGTCATCATCACCATCATCGTCATCATCATCATCGCCGTTATCAGCACCATCACCCCTCACACGTTTCGTTGCCCCAGAAGGAGCTCCACCGAAGGCCCCAGTGCTGCCGGCCGCATGCGTCCCGCACACCCTATTCGGCACACCTGTCACACGCTTCGTGGCCCTATAGGGAGCTCTACCGAAGGCCCCAGTGCCGCCGCCCGCATGCGTCCCGCATACCAATTTGAGCACATCCCTCACACGTTTCGTGGCCCCATAAGGAGCTCCACCGAAGGCCCCAGTGCCGCCGGCCGCGTGCGTCCCGCAATCCCACTTCGGCACACCCCTCAAACGTTTCGTGGTTCCATAAAAAGGGGCTCCACCGAAGGCCCCAGAACTGCCAGCCGCATGCGTCCCGCACACCCAATTCGGCACACCTATCACACGTTTCGTGGCCCCATAAGGAGCTCAACCGAAGGCCCCACTGCCGCCGGCCGCATGAGTCCTGCACACCCAATTCGGCACACCCCTCACATGTGGCCCCATGGGGAGCTCCACCGAAGACCCCAATGCCGCCGGCCGCGTGCGTCCCGCACACTCATTTCGGCACACCCCTCACACGGTTCGTGGCCCCATTGGGAGCTCCACCGAAGGCCCCAGTGCTGCCGGCCGCATGCGTCCCGCACACCCTATTCGGCACACCTGTCACACGCTTCGTGGCCCTATAGGGAGCTCTACCGAAGGCCCCAGTGCCGCCGCCCGCATGCGTCCCGCATACCAATTTCAGCACACCCCTCACACGTTTCGTGGCCCCATAAGGAGCTCCACCGAAGGCCCCAGTGCCGCCGGCCGCGTGCGTCCCGCACACCCACTTCGGCACACCCCTCAAACGCTTCGTGGCTCCATAAAAAGGGGCTCCACCGAAGGCCCCAGAACTGCCAGCCGCATGCGTCCCGCACACCCAATTCGGCACACCTATCACACGTTTCGTGGCCCCATAGAGAGCTCAACCGATGGCCCCACTGCCGCCGGCCGCATGAGTCCTGCACACCCAATTCGGCACACCCCTCACATGTGGCCCCATGGGGAGCTCCACCGAAGACCCTAGTGCCGCCGGCCGCGTGCGTCCCGCACACTCATTTCGGCACACCCCTCACACGGTTCGTGGCCCCATTGGGAGCTCCACCGAGGGCCCAACTGCCGCCGCCCGCATGCGTCCCGCACACCCTAT